AGCAAGTATCACGAATATGGAAAGAGTCGGTGAGGCTGTTAACCTGTTGTTACGACGACACGCCTCCGATCGACGTAACGAGTAAACGCGCTGTTTTGACAGCGCTTGAGCCAAAAGTCGGATCATATCCAAAATGAGTGATACACCTTGGTAAGACAAGTGATGTCTAGAGAACAACCAAGTGGAGCTACCTATGTACAGTACCTCTAGTAGAGGGGGCCACCTTATGTGGAATCCTTCAACTGAAAAGAGTAGAATTATATTGGATTTAGATCTAAACTGCATAGGAGTTAGATGGTAAATACATTGAATTAATTAGAATTAGGTTTGCATTGAGTCGAAATTGAACTAGGTTACATATGGAGTTTACCCAAAACCAAAGTAGAAGTGAAATAGAACTAACAAACATAATTGAAATAGAATTAAATAGCTTTGAATTTGAAATCAACTGGAAGTGAGATAGAACCAGGTCACTTAGGAGTTGCAACTCCTTGCCTTCTGGTTCTGATGCGCTGACTGAACTGCGCTCAATAAGAGCAACACAAATCAACCATGCTGAATGTTGAATACAGTGTTCCCAGGCAAGTGACGTTCAGGATCGGGTGCTCGGCGGTGTGGTAATGCCGGCCGGAGAGTCACTTTGGAACACAAGTTTTAGTTCACTTTGGAACACAGGGTTTTACTTCACTTTGGAACACAAAAGATGCGTCACTTTGGAACGCAAAACACCCAAAAACATGGAAGGGTTAACAAAAAGCGAGATCACTTTGGAACACAACGCACCTGGTTTTTTGAGTCACTTTAGAACACACACTCTGACACTTGTATTCAGTTAACTCAGTTCCCAGGTCGAAAGGAATGAGGGAACCGCAAGGTGGAAAGGTCAGCGCAACAGAATTGTTGAACAAATTGTTTGTGCGTGACTGCAGTGGCAAACTCGCGCGCAGTTGGCTGCAACTCGCAAACGGTGGAGAACTGCGGTGGAAAAAACTTGTTTGTGGGAGGGTATCGTGAAGAAGAACCATGGAAACAAAGAACAGCAGCAGGGCGGACCATTGGTGTCATTGTGTTCCAAAGCAGGTACACACCGAGACGTCTCTCGGTGCTTCCCCTGTCGCATCCTAGCTTCGTTGGGCCAGGTTGGATGTGACAGGCCTGGCCCCCCTGCGTGTGGAAAGTGGGTGAAACGGTGGAAGGTACCCTTTGTCCAGGGGTGGACACACACA